CTAGTGAAAGCACCTAGCTGGGCCCTTAGCCAGTGAGAGGCTGAAAGAGAAAGAATCCAGCATGAAATAAGGGAGCAAACAGTACGTGACTTCATGGGGACTTCCTTTTATCCATCCAGTTAAGGAAAAAACATAAGGAGATGTCCTGCAAAGAATGAATTAGTTATTAGAAGGTCTTGCTTCAGTTCTCAGGGGTCAAGTCTCCACATTCCCAAAGCCACCACTGCATTCACGTAAACTGTTTCCCTGTATGGCAGTCTCAGAAGAGAGTCTGAGATGCCTGTAGATGTGCAGGGATGTTGCTCTGACAAACTGTAATTACAGCATATCAGAGCAGACTCCACTAATCAAACGAGCAACCCCGCTGGCATTTTGAAGCATGGGGCACTGAATACATGAGATGCTGCAGGTGCATTAATTAAAATCTTATTAAAGCACCCCGTCCCTGGAGCACATGTAGATGCCCCTAAATACTAAATAGGCCAGCCAGACATGTCACCTTCTGAGTTGGTCTTTTATGGTCAACACAGAGCCAAGATTAACACTGGTAAGGCAGTGTCAGGGAAGTTTATGCTGCTGCTGTTGTCCCACCCTTCTTCAGCATGAAATTATCACATTTTTAAAGGTTAAAAAGAAAAAAAAAAGATGTGCTGATACTTTAGTAATTGGTATCCTAGTAATAACTGATTGAGCTACACGTCATTGACATAAGTCCTGCACTAAGCCTACAATTCACGTTCTAACACTGTGCTTGCAGTGACTTTTAAAATTTGTTCAGGTGCTTTCTTTTTCTAGTACAGGCACAAAGAGGATTATCATCACCAAGGGATGAGGCCAGAGAATGACCAACAAGTCAGGAACTAGAGGGTTCCTATCTGAGATCTAGTACTGATTCCTCTGAGGACACAGACAAACAATTCACCTCCAGGCATTAGTTTCTCCATCTGTTAATTGGGGTAATATTCTCCAACTCTCAATGGATATTGTGAGGGTTTATGTGGATTTGTACAGCATTTTTTTCACCTCCAAAGTGGTAATTATTCTTGCTGTTGCTATTGAGAGTGGCTAAGAGAGACAGCCATTGCCATGATCTAAAAGCAGTACAAACTTTGACCATGTATTTACAAAACCCTCTCTGAAGTACTTTAGCATTATTATTTTTATTTATTTTTATCAAAACCCCGTTGAATCTATGTCAGTGTTATTAAGGGAACTGATTTAGTGTCTCAGATGCACAAGGCACTCAGAGAATCTCAGAAGTGAGCTGAGCTCACTTCATACCACGGCAGCTTTGAACAAAACAAAGTTGCCTTCATGAAGTACATCAGAGAAATGACTGGAGTCTCTCTTTATCTTTCTGTAATTACCTTTCTGAGGATGTTCTGTAAACCATTATCAGTTAATACACTTTCTGTATGGCGGCTTTATCCCTGAATCCTAATTTAATTAGAATGGCCCAGGATTAATCTAAAATGCTGCCAACTTCACCCTTGAGCCGACTTTTGAAGAATGTTTTGTTGACCATTTTATTTGAGAGTCTTTTTATGGAGATAATTTTCTTTGTGCTTTCAAACCATTCCAATGTGCACATTTTGAGCAGAAGAAATACTCAGTTGTAAGCCTGCTTCTTAAGATGAGCAGAGGTTGCACTGACTGTGAATTTCAGCTGTGAAACCAGCTGACAGGCTTACAGATGGAAATAACTCAAGTCACTAGACAAATGTCCTGCCTCTGTGATCTTGGGAGTGACAGGGTCTCTGTTGGGTTTCCTTGGAGAATAAACAGGCATTGCAGAAAGAAATGAGTTCGTTCATTAGGGCAGTGTTTCTCAACCCATGGGTCGTGACCCAAAAGTGGGTCATAAGAATATGTGAAAGTGTTGTGAACAAACTTTAAAGATGAATCAACAAACTTTAAAAATGGATTTTCCTTTAAAGGAGAAAAACATGACAAACTGTCTTTTCCCTTGCAGGCTGGCAGAGTTCCAGCCTGCAAGGGGCTGCTTGTGGCCCCCCCCCCTTCCCACCCCCCCCTGCAAGGGGCTGCTTGTGGCCCCCCCCATGTCCCAGCCCCCTCTCCACCCCACACACTGGGGCGCTGGGGCCTGGGGACAGGGGGCAGCAGGTTGGGAGTGTGGGATACTGGGTCAGGACTGGCCACTGATGTTTACAAATGGGTCCCGGTACAAAAAAGGTTGAGAACCACTGCTCTAGGGCACCTATACATGTGTGCTATAATTACAGTGTGTTGGAACAGACTTGATTAATTGAGTCTGCTGGAGCATGGTAATTACAGCAGACCTCTGTGTCACATCTGGTCCAGCAGACCTCACTGTCATGTGTATCAGTGTTCCCATGCCAAAAAGCGGCAGCGGGGGTGCTTTAACTAAAGCAGTCAAACGAGCTTTAGTTAAAGGATCCCCACCACCATTTCTCATTATGGGGACGCTGATATACATGATGCTCTGGGTGCTTTAAATAGAGCACTAATGGAAGCTGCCTAATCAGCTCCGCAGTAAACACCTCGGCATCTACACATGTGGCCTGGGACAGACAGCCTGTGGCTCTGTCACTGTACGAGAGCAAGAGCCCAGGCAGAGCCCTGCTGGGAGGCAGGGCACAGCTGCAGCTGGGTTGCCATAGAGACTGATGGATGAAATTAAGTAGAAGGCCCTTTGAGGCAACCCTGAGAAGTCAGCTGACCAGAAACCAGGCAGGGCCTGAGGGATATAAGACAGCCCCAGAAGCTGGCCAGGCAGTCTGGCCATGGGAGCCGAGCAAGACAGAGCTCTGCAGAGGTGCGTGTGAGTTAGATGCAGACTGTGAGTGTGCTAGATCCTGAGACAGCTGGGGAAGCTGAGGGCTAGCGACTCGTGAAGACCACAGGTGGGTAGTAGTTTTGTGTTAGCCAGAAGGACTTCTGTTTGTGTTTTGGATTCCAGTTCAGTTTGATGCCCAAGGGACCAGGGGTAATTAAATACTGGAAACAAGACCTGGTGGTTTGGGGGGGACTATGGGATGGTTTAGGAGGTCCTCTAGTGCCTGCGGGGGGTGCACTGGGTACGCCCAGAGGGGCAGCCCTGTACTGCCCATGAGGGGCTAATGCCATTAGTGCCTGAGAGGCATAGACTCGGGGTGAGTGGGCCCACAGCCTGAGATGGGCAGGACTTGGACTTTGGGGCCAGAGGGTCCAGTGCCTGGAGTAGAGCAGAGATAGGGCCAGGGGCCTAGACAAAGAGAGAGTGAGTTCATGAAGGGTCAGCAGCCCAAGAGGGGACAGAGATAAAGGCCTTTCAGGGCCAGACCAGACACCTGAACAATGTTAGGCTTGCTCTAAGACCCTCAGTCAGCCTCCCTTCCTTTCCAAACAATAACATCAAAGGTGTGGCAGGTGAGTAAAGGAGGCGAGGGCCCCTGGAGTTGGAGCTGAGGTAGGAATTGCATGGCCACCAGGGGGTATCACAGCTAGCTCTGGACCCAAGCCCTATTAGACTGGGTCCTATTAGGCTGCAGGAAACTGTAAATACAAGTACTATCCTGCCACAGTTTTTTCATGCACATGTAGACACTGACCCAGCTGGCTGGGGCAGGAGGGTGCTTCAGCACAGGGGGGCTGCCTGCTGGCTAACCCCACACTGGAGCACCCTTGTGCCCCAATCTGCCCCTCTGCAGTACATTGAGCTGAGTTGGAGATGCCCTGGGCTGGCAGGCTGACTCTGTGGGCCCTCTGCCGGTTGGGGCTGCTCCAATCCAGGTCAATGTGCTGCAGTCCCAGGCCATATGTAAATGTGGCACCCAGGAGCAATAAACTCTGGCATGATATGAGCCAGAGTTTATTGCTGTGCATTAATATGCACATGTAAACATACCCAATGAAAACTAATCTGTTTGTGGAAGGCAATCTATGCGTCTCCCTCCCTGTGTATACGTTCAGTTTCCAACATTTCCATTATGGAAATATCCTGGTACCAAAAATAGGAATCTTACAGTTGTTTCTCCAAAGATGAGCCCTCTCCTTTTACACCTCCCCACCCAAGGCCCCAGTCACTGTGTAGCTCAGTTACTAACCCTTAGATTGAGCGAAGTCTACAATAAAAGTGGTAAGGCTTCATTCATCCCAGTCTTTGTGGAAAGCAGCTCCATAGCTACCCTAGAAAAACACTACAGAGGATGTATTTTCCCCCCTCTTACAGCAGCTGGAACATATCACAGAGGAAAAGAGTTATTTGGTCCAATCCAGTTAAGGGCTCTGAAGGTCAAAAACAGCACTTTGAATTGGCTCCAGACTAGATGGGGAGCCTAAGCAGTGTATAGAGTACCCTTGTCACATCTTACCTTTGGTTCATTCCATGTTTGTGTTTTACTAGAGGATGACAAACCAGTTAGTCCTAGTGCAACCTGCACACTCACTCTCAGATAGTGGCATGCACTGCTCTAGTCAAGACATGATCGAGCCATAGACCTGATCTGAAAACATGCAGCTAGCAGAGCAGGAAAGCATTTAATCAGAGCAGCACTGAAATGGCACAGAGGGGCTTTTTGCTGCCCTTCTGCACATGGGGAAATTTTAGACTGGTCAGAGGCTTCTGAATTGTGGCCTCCAAATATGACTGTGTTTGATTCTGAAAGGAAAGTCTGTTTCTGGGCTGTACACTGATATTTAAACGACAGTTGTTATCTGAATCAGCCCCAACGTGCCCGAGTAATAGAGGGCATATTGTTTCCCCCTGTACAGGTGCCTTTTACCACCTTCTGTACAGACACAGGGGCAGCATGAATTAGTCTCCACTATCATTCCCCTGCTATGCGACTACTGCTATTTTCAGTTTAAATCAGCTGAAGGCCAAGCCCAAATATTGCCAAATACAACCTTGAAGTGGAAAATCTTAATGCACTGTTTCCTAACCTATTGTTTCTTTTCCATGCTTACAAGCTCAGATACTAAATGGCTAAAACAGAGTGGGATGTTAATACAAAATGTCTTTAATTTTTCTTCTATAGCTGATGTTTATCTGCATTTCTGAAGTAAGAAAAAAGAGCCAGGCCTCCTCATCTCAAGCAATCAGGTGACTTTCACTGCTTTAAGTTCATGCATTTGCTCTCCAGGCTTGTGTTATGGTTGGGGAGGATGGTAGGCACTAGGCAGGGACTTGGCAGCCTAGGGTCTTTATTTTTCTGTTGTCTAAATGAAATGCATATGGCTCTTAGAGTATGCCCATTTAGCTGCATATAAGTGCTTTTACAAATAACAAACCAATTATTTATATGGAAATGAAGAACATCCCAAAAGGGAACAGAATAGAGCTGCACTGTGAGAAAAATATAGTGGAGTTTTATCACGTATCTGACCAGAAAACATTCAAGCCTTTTTAAGGGTGGCAAATTACCTGGTATTAGGAATGGTTCTCTGACTGGTCTGTAGCAACGGTATTAAAGACTGGGACTGGAGTCTGCCCAAGTGCTAGTGGTTCCCATTTCATATCCTTTGATGGGATAAACTGGATAAAGGCATAAACAGGTGATGATCAAGCTTTGCACTGATTTTTCAAAATATTTTCTTCATGATATGCCAAACTATATGTCATCACATTATACAGCTTCCTTCATCTACTGCAGTTATCTATAAACAAACATGTTCTACTATATATTTACTCAATGAAATGAACCACTACAGCATTGACTGTATCTATTTTAATCATTTATTTGCTTACTCTAAAACACGCATTTGATGTAAGTCATCAGCTTACAAGCATACACCTACTGTCTAGTTAAATCAATCATTAGTGACTTGAATATTATTTAAACACTATCAAACAAGTAATCCCACATATTTGAGTAGAAGGGAGAAGCCAAATAACATGGATTTTTTGCTGTATTCATGTTGATTCCCAGCATTTGTTTTTGAAAGTATTATGAGCTGCAGGAAATGTATCTGGCTGTGGGCAACTGGGGAGAGTTGAGTACTGTAGAAGATGCACACAATGAGTATATTTTTTTGAAAACACTGAACTTAACTTCTTTGTTTCAGTTTTTTCTGACTTTCTCAGGTCTCTGTTACTTCTGGAAGTATGTGGACCAACCTCTAGCATGGTCATCCTTTCATTCACCACATCCTTTCCCTTGATTTTTACACTCTAGAAATACAAAAGATGGAGAAGATTCACCAGAATAAATTGAATTATTATAGAATATTAGCAACATCTCTCATTAACCACTGAGAAGTTCAAATTTTGCAGGTTTATTTCTGCTTCTTCATTTGCAAACAAGTCTTTTCTATATGGACTATTTAGTTTGATACCTATAGAAAACTCCTAAACGTACTGAACACTAAGTTTACTTTTAATACAGTTACTTAGAAAAGAATATGTTGGTAATGTGTTTGGCCAATAAACAGGATATAGACAAATTAGTATCATAAATAACTATGATAAAACCACATGAAACATTTATCACTACTTCTAGGGTTGGATTGATGTTAGAGTAGAAAGCCTCATTGTTCAAGTGTTTTGTGTAATTAAGAAATTCCTCACAATACCTGCACTTGCTGCTTGACCTTCTCAGTCTATTTCCATTGAAATGGATGATATAGGAAGGGGTCTAAAAAACAAACAAACATTAGATGGTGAAACAAACTTATCGAGAAATAAGTTTCACTTTGGACTAGATTGTGATTTCTATTGCAGTTAAATTTTACCACCATTCTGCTGAATAGAGCTAGTCAAAAATCTTCCCATCCCATCAAAAATTTCTTACTGAATATAAGCATTTTGTCCCATTTAAATAAACATTTTTGTAAAAAAAAAATAATAATTTGTTTTGAAAATTTCTGGGCTTTTGATGATCGTTTGAAAATCAGAAAACATGCAGAAAAATCCTAAGTATATATATTTTTTTCTTTTTCACGGAAAAGATGTAATGTTTTCCAACTAGTTACATGGTAGGGGTATTGAATCATTAACAACTGAAAGGGGATGCTATCAACAGAGTCAGTATCTCCTGTAGCATACAGGTCTTTCTTGGAACTTTCCATTCATAAAGATTGACCCTGTAAACTCATGGGCCTAGGTAGATTACTAGATCTATATGATATAATGTGCTACTGAGACCTTCAGAGAGATACTCTTCATTTCTCTGGACTGGGTAGGATATGAACCATAGATATGGAGAAGAACAATGTTGTTGTTGTTGGGTTTTTTTAGCACTTACCAGCAAAAGAGAGACTGGTGCTTTGCGTTGCTCTATGTGGAAAGAGATGACATGAATATCAGAGCTGGGTATTTGTTGAGTAAATTAACAGACACAAGCTTGCAGATCCTTATTTTGAAAAGAAGCATCAGTTCCTAAAACCTGTTCTAGATTTTGCTGATGCCAATGGAATGACCTGATTGGATTAACCTGTTTTTTAGAATTGGGTAACCAGGGTAAATTATTATTTTGAATTCAAACTTTATTTCTTACAAGTACTCAGTGGGTGCATCTACATATATGCTTTAATGGTCATTGGCCTATCTTAATGCACATTAACACATCACTTAAAAATGTGCTTTTTAGTTTGTGTGCATTAAAATAGGATAATTCTTATTTTCCTAGTACCTCACAATGGAGGGCACTTTAATGCATGCTCCGAGGGCGGGGGAGGCTCCAAGAGCCACGCTAATTAGAGTGCCGCCACATCTCCTGCATCAGTGTCCCCATGTTTTAAAAATGGTGGCAGGGGCACTTGAAGTAAAGCTCGTTCAAGCACCCCCACCATCATTTTTAAGCGTGGAGATGCTAATACACAAGATGCGAGAGGCTGCTGGAGTGCTGCAATTGCCTTTCTCCACCAGACTCAATTAGACTCAACCAGACTTCTCAAAGAGTTTCCCCAATCCTGGGGAAACTCTTTGAGAAGATCATCAAGGAGCACATTTGTGATGGGCCGGCATCAGAAATGATGCTCAGGGGCAATCAGCATGGTTTTATTAGGGGGAGATCATGTCAGACCAACCTGATTGCCTTCTATGATCAGGTCACAAAGGCCATGGACGCAGGTGTTGCGGTGGATGTAGTCTTTCTGGACTTCAGCAAGGCCTTTGACACCGTCTCTCACCCCATCCTAATTAATAAACTAGGCGACTGTGGCACAGACGCCTACACAGTCAGATGGATTGCAGATTGGCTGAAGGGTCGCACTCAGAGGGTGGTGGTGGATGGATCATACTCGACTTGGGGGAGGTGGGTAGTGGAGTCCCCCAGGGCTCAGTCCTGGGGCCTGCGCTGTTCAATTTCTTCATCAGCGATCTTGATGTTGGGGTGGAAAGCAACCTGTTTAAATTCGCTGATGACACCAAAATTTGGGGGGAGGTGAGCACGCTAGCAGGGAGAGAGAGATTGCAGAAGGATCTGGATAGGTTACAGGGGTGGGCAGACAGGAACAGGATGCGTTTCAATACGGACAAGTGCAGGGTGCTGCACTTGGGTAGTAGGAACCAGCAGCACACTTATACGATGGGGAACTCCCTACTTGAGAGCACGGAGGCGGAAAGGGATCTTGGTGTCATTATTGACTCCAAGATGAACATGGGCCGACAATGCGAGGTCATGGTTGGCAGGGCTAACCGGACCTTGTCGTGCATCCACAGGTGCATCTCGAGTAGAGCCAGGGAGGTGATCCTCCCCCTCTATGCGACGCTGGTCAGGCCGCAGCTGGAGTATTGTGTCCAGTTCTGTGCGCCCCATTTCAGGAGGGATGTGGACAACATGGAGAGGGTCCAGAGGAGGGCCACCCGCATGATCCGGGGACAACAGGGCAGACCCTACAGTGAGAGACTGCGGGACCTGAACCTATTCAGCCTCCACAAGAGAAGGCTGAGGGGGGACCTGGTGACCATCTATAAACTCACTAGGGGGAACCAGAAGGGTTTGGGGGAGACGCTGTTTCCCCTAGCCCCCGCTGGCATAACAAGGAGTAATGGGCACAAGTTGATGGAGAGGAGGTACAGATTGGACATCCGAAAAAACTACTTCACAGTTAGGGCGGCTAGGAGCTGGAACCAATTTCCAAGGGAGGTGGTGCTGGCCCCTACCCTGGGGATCTTTAAGAAGAGGCTGGATACTTACCTGGCTGGACTCATTTGAGTCCCGTTTTTTGTTTAGGGTTCTTTTGTTGTTCTCCCGCCCTGGCGGGGGGTCGGGCTAGAAGATCTATTAGGTCCCTTCCGACCCTAAAACTATGAAACTATGAATAATTGGGTCTGCTCTGACATGCTGGAATTCCAGCATGTCAGAGCAGCCTCAGCATTCACGTATAGGTGCCCAGAGGTGCTAGATTTAATGTGCATTAACTAAAACACATTAATGCACATGTAGATGCAACCAGTGACATTCATTTAAATGTGTTATTTGGTTGGACAATTCTGGTAGGTAAGCCTGTTTACTATCCCTTGGGTAAATCAAAGGGACAGAGGTCCACACAAAGCAAATCCATTTCCAAATGTGAATAAGGTTTGTGTAGAAATGTATGCAACATCAGCCTAGCTCTAGTGATGAATCAGGATTAAGCGAGAGAACTCCATCCTGTAAGGATGTTGGGTGGTCTTTAAATGACTGTCCATCAGACCATGGAAACCACAGAAGCTGGTTAGAGGTATTTGCAGCAAGTATTTCAAAAGCAAAGAAAAAAATACCTTTACCTGGTCTGCTGCATTTGGTTAATGATTTCACCTAAAAAAGATAAAGAAAATATCTCACAAGGATGGAGATGTATTGAAAATAGTACAGCCTTTTGCAATGTGTTGCTGAAGGACCTTGATGCCTTTTTTCAGGTCCAGGTAGGGCTAGTGAGCAAATGAAATGGGCAGTCCACTAGGCCTGTGCGAATAGGGAGCTATTCAATTCGGCTTCGGATCTGGCTGCTTCGGATGCCAGTGATTCAATTCGGAGCTCCGGATCGGTTTCCCACTTCAATTCAACCAAAGCGGCACCAAAGCTTCAGAGATCCGGCCATAGGGTATAATGGGGAATCAATAAAATACCTATAACTTTGTTTTTTGTCTGATTTGGATGAACCTTGCAGGGGTGGTAGCCTCTGCTGAGAGTATGAAGCCTGCCAAGTTTCAAGGTGATAGGTGCAGGGGTTTGGGGGGAACTGGATCTCAAGCTGCTGGCAGGCAAAACTCATGACATAGGTGACCCTGTGTGTGTTAAGGCGCACCGGGCTGAAAACTGTAGGGGTGGTGGCCCTGATGAGGCCACGAAGCCTGCCAGCTGTCAAGGAGATAGGTACAGGGGGAGTCTGGCTGCTAACAGGCAAAGCATGTGATGTGTGTGTGTGTGTATGTTAAGGTGCGCCCTTCCTGGCGCTGGAGCCTCTGCACAACACGGCAGTGTGCCCCACTGAGGGCACTTCCTCCCCTACAGCCTCACGCCCGATCCACCACTTTACATGACAACAGGTAAAATAACTTACCTGGCTCAACACCAGTAGCATCAGCATCAGAGGTACCCACACGGAACTGTAACAGAGCCTTTCTTTTTATAAAGGAATTGACAACAAGAAGTAAAGATGCTGTGTTGGATATATGATGTTATTCATGGTGTGTGATAATGGCTTATCTTGTGTTTTTATGTTTATATGTATTATGAAACAAAAAGGAGTACTTAAAAATGTATCTTTGGAAGCTTTAGGGTTGAAAACCCCTTTGTCAGGCTGAGGAAGTACCTGCAGTTGGACCTGGATGGAAGGAATAGTAAAGAAGCCAGAGGCTGGCCTGGCATGCAGTGCAAGCAAGAAAAGTGCAGAGGTGCCTGGGGTGTCAGATGTCCGGCAGGTCGCAGTGTGCCAGAACTCCCTTGTGTATACTAAGTCCAGGAGTTTCTGTACCTACTACCTAGGAGGCTGATGAAGTGCAGTTCATAGGCCCAGCTCTGAGAAGTGGTTTGTATATTCAAACAAGCACCTAACCTCATCACCAGAACTGAAGCCAACTTCCTACAGCTCAAAACACAAAACCTGCCAACTATCTCCAGTACCCCCACAAACTGCACACCATAATCTATCAAAGATGACAAAACCCAACTACCTGTGGGGGCACATTTCTCACCAAAAAAACCACTCTGCCTCCAGTCTCTCAGGGCTGATCCTGAGAGAGAACAAATTACAATGCTAACCACTTTTTGCAGACTTGAAAAAGGTTACCACCCCTGCAAGTTTAATCCAAATCAGACAAAAAACAACCAAGTTTATAGATATTTCATTGATTTCCCCATTATACCCTATGGCTGGATCTCCGAAGCAGCTCTGAAGCTTTCCTGAAGTGGTTTGGAAGCTCCAAATTGCTTTGGAAAGCCTAAAGAAGCCAGCGCTTCAATCCAGACATGCTGCTTTGGTGTCCGTAGTGTCCAAATCTTCTCCAGATCCGAAGCGCAATCCAAAGCCTCGCACAGCCCTACAGTCCACACAGGTACAGCATGAGGTCAGGGAAGCAACTAAAACAGGGATGGCTCAGGAGAATGGAGCTAGAACAAAGAAAGATGTTCTCCTTTGTAGTCCCAGAGACCCTGTCTCCTTCCTGCCCTTTGCTCTCTCCTGTTCAGCATCCTCATGCTGTGTTTCCATAGTCAAAAAGCACAACTGAGTCCTGAATCTTTGCACGCAGGAAGATCCTACATGCTCCAGGTAAAAGAATCAAAATTTTCAGGACATAACCCATGCTCAGTTGAATAAGTCAGGAAGCTCATACTGGCTGTCAACTTAAATGCAGGGAGTAATATTTTATTACTGAGACAAGGCAGTCACTTACTGTGCACTTCTTCCATCATCGAATCTAGGCTTGAGATATACGTCTGTGTCTCACTTCTGATGTGTGCAATTGTTATCTGACTCAGCTGTGTTGCCAACACATCTATGCTGTCAATGCTGAAATCCTGATTCTTAATCCTAGGGCACCCAAAAAGTCATGTAATCAACACTGTGTAGCCCTTACAAAGTTAAGTATCTCTGAAGTTAGGTGAGTGCCTATTAACAGTAGAATATAAAAAGATGAGGGCATTTTGATAACGTAAAGTACAGGAGAAGTGTTCTGTACCGAGACTACTCTTAGGGCAGGCGGTATTAGTAACAGTATTTAACACAGGGCTATCCAACTGAAAACCTGATGGCTGCATGCAGCCTGCAAGAGGTTAATATGCAGCTCCCAGGCTCCTGCTCAGCCACTGCCCACCCCCTTGACTCCTGCTGTTATGGTGGCTAGGCTCTCCAGGCTTCCCCTTCTCTGACTTCTGGTTTCTCCCCTTGCTCCTAGGATGAGTCAGTGAGAGGGAGCCGGGCGTGTAGCACGGAAAGAGCTGAGCTGCTTGTATGGTGTAGCCCCAGTGTCTGAGGCCCGTGGGGCATGTGGTACTGCACAGTTCAGAACTTGGACAGCCCTGATTTAGCAGCAGTATTTATTAGAACTAGGTGGGTAGAAAACCAGGGACACACTTTTTTTTGCAGATATATTTGTAAAAACAAAAATATTTGCAGATGTATTTGTATATTTGATATATTTCCAATTGTTGACTAGCTGCATTACTGAACATTATTATAGCTAAGGTGATTGACCACCATTGTGCTGAAAGGGGATGATAAACTGGTTCCTGTCACCGGACAATGTGCCTGTAATGGGAGTGCACTTGAGGGGTAGCAGGGTACAGTGTGTGTCTTGCGCCCCTTGCCAGCTGAAGGGCACTAGGCAGCTGTGGTATGGAAATGCTGTTGAGCTCTTGGAAAGTGATTTACTCCCTGGGTACATCTACACAAGATGTTTACTGCACAATTCACTAATTAACTGTGCAGTAAACAACTCAGTATCTACATATGCACCCCTATTAGGGCACACAAAACTAATAAACTCTACAGCAGGGTAAATACAAGTCCTACCCTGCTGCAGAGATTGTTTTGTGCACAGTAATGCTCATGTAGACACTGCCCTGGCTGGCTGGGACACAAGGGTGCTTCACTGTGGGGGCTGCCCACTGGCTAGTCCCACACTGAAGCACCTTCATACCCCAGCCAGCCCCTTGTAGCACATTGAGTCTGGTTTGAGCAGCCCCAGGCTGGCAGGTTGACCCCCTGGATGCCTGCCAGCTGGGGCTGCTGCAACTGGGCCAACTGTGCTGTGGTCCAGGTGCACATGTAAAATATGTGCCCAAGAGCTCCACAGGTTTTTGCTGAGTATTAATGGTTCATGTAGATGCTCCCCCTGTAAGCTACACTGCATTGACTTCAGGCAGGGGCATGAAAGGATGTGTGTGAACTGCAATACCCCTGGAGGAACCCCGGGGGGGCACTGTGACTCAAAGCCAAAATCACCATTCATGCTGGCCAAGTCGCAACTTGATGCTAATTCTCTCACGTGGAAAGGTGACATTCTGAAATACAAATCCAAGTGTGAACCAACTTTCCACGTGACCCTAAGGGGCCTTGTCTATCATCTCCCTGTACTGCAGCAACCCTGTGGTGTATCTTTGATTTTTATTATTTATTACACCAATGAATTAGTTTGCTGAACAGCAGCTAGTGTGTCTGGTAGAAAATTAGAATTTAATAATTAAATGCCTCAATTGCAACAGGAGGCATAAAAACACTAAGACTAGTCTAACTGTCCTCAAGTAGAAAAGGCAGCCCATCTACTGGGAAATGGAACAGCCACAAACCCAGCCAATTAACCCTTATACCAAAAGAGAACCCTGTGTCTTGTTTTAAGTGCACTACTCTTACAT